CCAGGACTCGAACCATGGTCAACTACATGGGAGTCCAGTGACATAGCCATTACGCTAGCTGCTGATCCCTTTAGTATTATTTTTTTAATAATTATTTTATTTAACTTTATTTATTTATCTATTTATTTATTTTAATTTGGCTAGAGAAGGACAAAGTGAGAGAGAGAGGGAAAGTGAGAAAGGAAGCTGCCAGGTCTGGGACTCAAACCACAGTCAGCCATGTGGGAGTCCAGCGCCCTTAACCACCACTCTACCTGCTGACCTCGTATTATTATTGCTTTTTCAATTTGACCAGAGAGAGAGGGAAAGTGAGAAAGTGTGGGACTTGAACTGTAGTTGGCCATGTGGGAGTCTAGCACCTTAACCACCTGCCTGCCCCTTACCCCACCATGGTGTCTCGATGCTACAGTCTACCCTCAACCTTAGCCAGTCCCAGATCGCAGACATCTGCACACCCATCACACTTAGGGGATCTCCAAAGTTAACCCAGTACCTCCTGTATGGGTCGGCCTTGCAGAGCATCGTGTTTACCCCTGCTGGGTCCGGCCTCCATTACTGACATTTTATTATTTATTTACTTATTTGCTATAGGATGTGTGGTGTGCAGGTGTGCACTTGCCAGAGACAGGGAAAGTAAGAATCACCCCCGGGGGGCCGGCCATAGTACATTCTTCTTCCTTCTCCTCTTGGGGGTTGGGCACTCAAGCAGACACACCTGGCAAGTTTTCAGGCTGCCGGATCTGGAACTAAACTGCACAGTTGGCTGTGTGGGATATCCAGCTGCCTTAACCACCGTGCCACCAGCTGGCCCATTCTGGCATTTTAAATGAATTATTTCCTCCCCTTTATTCATTATAGAGTATGTATGCATACACTTGAGAGTGAGAGAGAGCAAGAGAGAGAGAAAGAGAGGAGCACCCTCTACAGGGTCTGGTTACACGCCTTCCTCCAGTCCTGCAGCCCACCCGATCTTGAACACTGGCACATGTGCTCAGTGTGTTTCAGGCTGATCTGGCTGGGAATTTGAACCATGTTTACCACATGGGGACCAGCTTCCTTTGAACATGATGATAGTGCTACACCATGGAGCCAGCTCTCTGACAGTTTTTTCTGAGTGGTTTTTGTTATAGGACACGTGCAGTTGTCAGCTTGCCAGACAGAGACAGAGAGACAGAAAGCGAGAAATCACCCCCCAGGGGGATGGCCATGCGGCAATCCCTTCTCCTCCATTCTCCTCTTAGGATCTTGGGCATGCACATACACACGCCCAGTGTGAGTTTAAGCCACCAGGTCCAGGACTCAGACTGTGGTCAACTACATGGGAGTCCAGCGACATAGCCGTTACACCAACTGCTGGTCCCCCCTCTGACATTTTTGTAATGTTGAATGTATATGTCTTCCCATTGTTCAAGTGTATTTCGTATATATCAGGATGTTTTATAGTTTTAAAATATTTAAAAATATTTCTTGATAAGTTTAGCCCAGATATTTTCTTTTCTTTTCTTCTGCCTTAAATGAGATTTTCCATTATGTCTTCCATGACATTTTCTAAAGGAACTGGAACTATTCTCTTGTCTGAGTGTATGTGGCGGCATGTAAGACTGGAATAGCCTAGGTTTGGCTTCTCAAAGACCTGGGTTCAAACCTGGGATTTGCCAGGTATGGACAGTAACTCCCTGGGCAAGTCTCTTCTGCTTCTCTAAGCCTTGGGTATAAACTTTCTCCTTAAGATGGAAAGAATAAACTCTAGAGGGTTGTCATAATAACTTGAAGTAGGTAAACTGGCCCTCAATATATAAAAGCTACCTTCCTTTCACCTTCTAACGTGGATTGGGTCAGGAGTACAGTTTTTAACCAGCCCCTTTTATCCAGAACAAGGACCATTTTCTCCTCCTCTGAGCACTTTCTCATGGAAACCCTGACATTACAGCATGTGATAGCCTCTTTCTTTCCAGTTGAACTTCCCCAGGTAGCAGGTTCAGTACTCACTGGGGCTGTCTCTGCCTGGCTGACACAGCTGTCTAGGGCAGCCTGCCCACAGAAGAGAACAGAAGGTTGAACTTTTTGCCAGGACTCTTGCAGCCCAGCTCTGGAACCAAAGCCTGGGAATCTGACTTGGACAGTCACTGGCTGCCAGTTTGCAGGACCTGATACAATCTTCCCAGTGTTTGAAGCTGATGGCTGAATTGCAGGGCCTGAGGGCAAGGCTGGCACCAGGGCACAGTATTCTGTGATACTATGATAGTATTCTGCTTGGTTCCTGGCCAACCCAGAGAGGTTTTGTTTTCCCATGGAGCTGGGCAGGCAAGCTGAAAGAGTGAGCCCCCATGATGTCCCAGAGCCTGCTATCCAAGCAGGGTTCCTGTCCTGGGGGAGGCGATTCTGGCTGCTGGGTTCATAGTCCTTGGGGAGGCCTGGGCCACTCACCCAGTGAGACTGGTTACTTCTTCCAACTCCACAGGAATTGGGTGGCTATTCTGGGCACTGATCAAAGGGGATGTGCTCTGACCCAAAGGGTTTCTTTGTTACTTCTAGGGAACCTCAAGGAAGCCTGGTCTGGAAGAGAGAGGAGGTAGGGGTTTTATGTCTGGTAGAGGGGCAGAGAGTAGGAGAGCAGTCCTGGCATTGGTCTCTTGAATCAAGCTCAGCAAAATGATGAAATCTGGGAGGCATGGTGCCTGAGGCCCCACCTTCCAGAGTACTTGGTATAACTCTATGAAAAGTTTATGTTGCTGGGTTTTTTTTCTCCAGGGAGATTTTTATGCTCAGCCTTCTCAGCTCTGGGATAAAAGGCTTTTGTTCTTTGATAAATGGAATTCAGAGTTTGAGGAGTGGTGGAAAGGTGTTGAGAAGTACATTTAGTGGCTATAGTGACCATACACAGGTTCTTCAGAGAGTTCATGGAAAATGTGTAGTGTGAAACAACTATGCATAAATCAAAATAAGTTTGCACCAAGGGCCAGCAAGTAGTGTGGAGGTTAGGCCAGCTGTGTGGTTTCAGTCCTGGACTTGGCAGCTTGAAAATCATGCCTGGCTCATGTGTATGAGTGTCCAAAATCCTAAGAGGAAAATGGAAGAGCAGGAATTGTGGCATGGCCATTCCCCCAGGTAGTGATTTCTTACTTTACTCCCCTTGCCCCCTGCAAACACACACGCCCTATAACAAACTTTAAAAAAGGGGTTTTTTTGCACTAAAATAAACTCAGACTTCATCTTCATTTTTTTTGGAGAGGTTTTTGCTATAGGGTGCGTGTGCTCTCCAGAAAGACAAAGAGAGACAGAAAGACAGAAAGTGAGAAATCACCCCCCCCCATGGGGGATGGCCACACCGCAGTCCCTTTTCTTCCATTCTCCTCTTGGAATCTTGGGCATGCATACACACACGTCTGGTGTGAGTTTAAGCCACCTGGTCTGGGACTTGAACCATGGTTGACTACATGGGAGTCCAGCATTTTAGCCACTACGCCATCTGCTGGTTCCATCAACTTCATTTTCCTATGCATTTTTTGAAGTCCCCTCATGTTTTCTGAATCAGAAATCAGGACATATAGCTTTGATGTAGTCTCACAGTGTCAGAACACTTGAAGTGTTGACTCATAGCCCTGCAGCCCATTCAGGAAAATCCCAACCCTGGCTGTTCAGCTGCCTGTGTTCTCCTTGGAGCCTGACACTTGCCTTTTCCACCACAGCAGACTTCCTGGAGCCGGCCGTGTGCAGTCACACTTACCAGCTCCTGTTGAGAAGCACTGCCAGTCCTACTTAGCTTCCCCATAAAATCTTTACTGGCCTGTCACCTTTCCCTCCAGTTAAAAAACTCTCTGTAAACACTGAGAGGAATGAGTCACGGTGTGTCAGTTTGATTTGGATGTGACCTGTCTTGGGTGTGCTTGCTTTGAGGACCTGGCTGCTCGTCTGCATGTTTTTGCACTGGTGTGGCTGAAAGAATACTCCACTGGGAACCAAGAGCTGTGTCGTGCTCTGCCTCTGACTCACACCGTAGTTGTGGACAAGCCCTTTTTTGCCCTGATCTATTGTTTTGTTTTATTATCTTTATGGGGCTGATAGAGGGGCATGTCAGAATTACGCTTGGCTGCACATCGCAGAAAGTTAACTTAATAAGGGCTTATTTTTCATTAAGAAGCCCTGAAGTAGGCCCAGGGCTGGTGTGGTGGGTGCTTGATGGTAACAGGATGAGGCTCTCTCTCTCTCTCCTCTTTTTTTTTTTTTTTTTTTTTTGTGTGGTTTTTGCTATAGGGCATGTGCGCTAGCCAGAGAGACAGAGAGAGACAGAGAGACAGAAAGCAAGAAATCACCCCCCAGAGGGGATGGCCACGCCGCAGTCCCTTCTCCTCCATTCTCCTCTTGGGATCTTTGGCATGCATGCACACGGATCCAGCGTGAATTTAAGCCACTGGGTCTGGGACTCAAACCACAGTCAACTACATGGGAGTTCAGTGACATAGCCATTACGCTAACTGCTGGTCCGTCCTTGTGGTTTTTGTCTTTGTCCTAATGCTAGTTGCCTCCTGGTTGAAAGAAGGCTGCTCCACCTGTCTGTATTAATTCTCTTTGCACTGAAGGAAGAAAGAAGTGAGAGGGCAGTTTGAAAGGGAATACAAAATCTCCCCCAGTTTATGTCTTAGTTTGTGGTCACTCCTGGTTGCAAGAAAATATGGGGAAGTGAATCATCTTAGCTAGACTTGGATTTCAGAAGAAACACGGGATTCTATTAATAAGTGCCTCAGTTTTCCATTGTGCATAATGAATCATCCCTAAGGTAGCTGAAAAGAACAACCCTTTATTCTTTCTCACAGCTGAGTGAGTTGCTTGGCCTCTCCCGGCAGTACACCCACGTGGTGTAGCTAAGGCCTCTCATGCCGCTGCACTCAGCTGGGAGCTCAGCATGGAGCTGGAATGTCCAGGATGGCCTTTCCTCCTCCAGGTTTTCTCCCTAGGGAGTGCCTCTTCAGTCTGTAGTCTAGGCCAAGCTGTTTTACAGCATGTAGTTTCCAGGAGGGAGTGTGCTAAGAAGTCCCGATAGACAAGTGATTTTCGAGTCTGGGCTTGCATTATACTTGCTAATATCCTGTTGGTTAAAGTAAGTCATATGGTCAAAGCCCAGAGTTGATATGGACAGAGGACCACACAAGGGCATGAGTCCCAGGAGGTACAATCCATTGGGGGCCACTAGTGTAAATGTCTGCCATAGTGAGAAAGAGAGAGAGTGACTGGGATTGGCTGTTATTATGTTGGGAGTGCACCTATGCGACTTGGGGATGTGCAGAGGTCAAGTCGGGTCAAAATGGCAGATTAGCTCCAAGATGGCGTTGCTCTGGTTCCTCAACAATGCTTTTGATTCTATGGCAGAGCCTGGTGGTGAATGTCCTGCTGACCCTCTTCCATGTGAGGAGCTATGTGATGGGGATGCATCCTGTCCCCCAGGACATAAATGCTGCTCCACCGGCTGTGGCCACATCTGCCGTGGAGACATTGAGGGAGGTATGTTGGCTCTTATTTCTTTTTAGATTTTTGCCATAAGGTATGTGTGGTTGCTAGAGAGAGACAGTGTAAAGGAAAGTGAGAAATCATCCTGCAGGGGGACAGACATGTTGCAATCCTTTCTCCTTCATGCTCCTTTTGGGATTTTGGGCATGCATGCACTCATACTTGACATGTTTTCCAAGTCACTGGGTCTGGAACTCAAGTTACACTATTGGCCATGTGGGATTCAGTGTCCTAACCACCATACCACCTAGCTGACCTAGTATATTGGCTCTTTTGGAAAGAAATTGGGGTGCTCTGAGTATTAGAGTTGACTTGGGAGGGATCCCACTGTGGCTACCTTCTCTTCTTCTCCCTAGGAAATGCTAGATTCTCCTCCTTCCTATTCCCCTGATCCCCCCAACCCAAGACAGCCCCTCCTCTAGGACCAAGGGGTCCATGTTGGCACTAAAAAGATCTAGGGGAAGGCGGTGTGGGATGGTAGAAAAACCCTTAGGCTGGAAGGCAGGCAATGTGGGTTTTGGGTTTGGTTTTGCTGTGGATTTGCTCTGTGACCTTGGCCAAAGAACTTCCTCTTTGGGGCTGGTAGGTGGAGTGGTGGTTGAAGGTGCGAGATTCCCACATGGCTGACTGTGATTTGAGTCCTGGACCTGGCAGCTTGCTTTCTCCATTTCCCTTTCTCTCTTTCTGTTTCTCACTGGTCAAATTAAAAAATAATAACAAATGGAATTAAATAAATAAATCTTTAAAAAATAAAAAGAAGCTCCTCCTTTTTGAACCTCAATTACGCTATCTGTAAAATGAGGCACTTGCCCAAGATCACTGGTTTTCAGTTCTAATTTCTTTTTTCTTTTTGGAGAGGTTTTTGCTATAGGGCATGTGCGCTTGCCAGAAAGATGGAGAGAGACAGAGAGACAGAAAGCGAGGAATCACCCCAAAGGGGGGATGGCCACGCTGCAATCCCTTCTCCTCCATTCTCCTCTCAGGATCTTGGGCATGCATGCCCAAGTTTAAGCTACCAGGTCTGGGACTCGAACTGTGGTGGACTACATGGGAGTCTAGCGACATAACCATTACGCTAACTGCTGGTCCCTCAAATCTAATTTTTATTGCAAAGCATTCCCTTTTCTCCAAATGAAATGGTAGTTGAAAGCAACATATACACACACACACACACACACACACACACATATATATGTCAGAGAAAAGTGTTCCTGTTTAATTCCTTTATTATTATTATTAAAAAAATACAATCACATATCTATTTTTTTTGGTCTCTTTTTTTTTTTTTTTTTGAGAGAGAGATTTTTGCTATAGGGCATGTGTGCTTGCCAAAGAGACAGAGAGAGACAGGGAGACAGAAAGCAAGAAATCACCCCCTAGGTGGGATGGCCACACTACAATCCCTTCTCCATTCTCCTCTCGGAATTTTGGCCACACATGCACACATACCTGGTGTGAGTTAAGTTATTTAACTTTATTTATTATTATTATTATTTTCCAGTTTGATTAGAGAGAGACAGAGAAAGAGAGCGAGGGAAAGTGAGAAGGCAAGCCACCAGGTCCAGGATTTGAGCCACGTTAGCTGTGTGGGAGTCCAGCGCCTTTAACCACCACACCACTTGCTGGTGCCTCGTTTATTATTTAAAAGAAATTTAAAAAAAATATATTTTTGGCTCTTCTCATGTACTAGGCACTGTGGAACTCCATTTCAGAATCATTGACCCAGACATTGCCTCGATCCCTTCAGATCCCCAGGCAATGGTTAGTCAAGGCACGGGCACAGATGTTTTTCTTTATGTAGCAAATAGTCTGTAGGGAAGACAGACAATTAAATCAGGGATTATAATGGAATTTTTTCTTGTTTGTTTGTTTTTCTAGAGGTTTTTGCCTTAGGGCACATGTGTTTGTCCCAAAGAGAGACACAGAGAGAGACAGTGAAAAGGAAAGTGAAAAATCTACCCCTGAGGGGATGGCCATACCTCAATCCATTCTCCTGCCAGGATCTTGGGCACGCATGAACACACACACATGCTCAGCGTGTGTTTAAGCCCACTAGGTCCAGGACTTGAACCACTGTAGGTCATGTGGGAATCCAGCAATGTGACCACCACACCATCCGCTGGCCCCTATAATAGAGTTTGACGAGAGGAGCACATGGGGTGCTAACGGAACATAAAACAGAGATGTCAGATCTCCCCTGGGGTGGCAGAGGAAGCCCAAATAGAGGGAGGGAGAATGGTGGTCTGAGGCTTGTCCCTTTGTATTCCACCCAGCACTACCCCCAGACCTACTGAGCTATCAGTCTCCTGAGTTACCGCCACGGGACTTCCTTTGAGAACTCTTGGCCCAGATATTTCTTAGGTCTCCTCGGATTCTTAGAGCCTCCAGTTCTGTGGTTTTCCAGCCAGTTTGGTTAAGAGTCAGGAGTTGATTGACTTGGAGCCTCCATGTCTGAACACTAGGTGGGAACTTGGAGACAGTGGGGCTGACTGCCTTTCTCTGTCTCTGTGCCTTTTTATTTTCTGTAGGGCGGGATGGCAGCTGCCCAGATGTTCTGGTGGGCCTGTGCATTGTCAGCTGCGTGATGGATGAGAACTGTCAAGCCAGAGAGAAGTGCTGCAAGTCAGGCTGTGGCCGCTTCTGTGTCCCGCCGATCCTGCAACGGAAACTGACCATGAGCCCCAACTTGACTGGCAGGTCCAATACAGATTTAGGTGAGTACAGTCCATTGTCATCAACAATAGACTTAACTGCTGTGGGCAAAGGTGCTGGGAAGGGGACTTCAGAGGGTCAGAAGAGTCTAGTTGGAGAGAAAGATCCTGTGTCACGAATCTGAACCCCTATACAGATGGTGTGGACTTAGAGATGTTCAGAGTGGGTGTGCTCCTGGGAAGGTTTTTCTGGGAGCGATGGGATTTGATGCAGGCCTTAAAGGCTAGGCGGATACGACAAACTGGGTATAGCACAGAGAGCATGCTGGGATGGTAGTCTGGTAATTTTTGGTAAAGGCACAGAAGATGGAAATACATGTGACAACTTTGGGGGTGGAGGTTGAGGGCAGGGTGGGGAAAGAAGGGGCACATTTCCTGTTTTTTTTTTTTTTTTTTTAATGTATATATATAACAGGAGCTATAAGGTTGAGATCTGACTAATAATCTCCAGAGAGCATGCTGGGATGGTAGTCTGGTAATTTTTGGTAAAGGCACAGAAGATGGAAATACATGTGACAACTTTGGGGGTGGAGGTTGAGGGCAGGGTGGGGAAAGAAGGGGCACATTTCCTGTTTTTTTTTTTATTTTAATGTATATATATAACAGGAGCTATAAGGTTGAGATCTGACTAATAATCTCACTTCCAGTTTAGATTGGATTGTGTAGGAAACAGGGAGCCATTTAAAGTGTTTGAGAATAGTAAATGCCAAGCTTCTTGAGGGTGGAGGGGACGCAGCATTGGGCATCTGCAGGCAGGAGGACACGTTATGACTTGCTGTTTTCTGCTTGCAGATAATCTGCGGCCCTAGCTGTCCTGGTTTGTCTGAAGCTTCTCTGGTGACTACGGGAGGCTTCTCCTAGCAGACAGGAGAGGGTGACATCCTGGGGCTTGCGATGCTTCCAGGGATACCCATAGCCCTTCCTACTTTGCTTCTCTTCTGACTACTGACCGGAGCTCAGGCAGCCTAGGCCTGGGACTGGACACGGGTGTGGTGCTTCTCTTCCCCAGTAAAGGCTGGTGCTGACCCTTTTGTCTGTGTTTTTTGAGGACTCAAATTAGATGGGAGAGCTGGGGGTCTGAGTGTGGCTGGGGGCTTGTGAGACTTACATATTTAGGAAGGATGGAGATCCATTCTTTCAGAAAATGGATGTTGGATGGGTGTGGCCAGAGGAGGGATGAGTGGAGGCAAAATATAGGATGACTTGTCATAGGTGTCTTCTAACCCCAGGGGTGGTGGAGCAGGGGCTCAGTCTCTTTTTTGGGCCTGCAGACCTTCTGTCTCTTGTGGGAGAGTGTGGATTAGGAGTGGAATGGGTGGGCGGCTAGTTTACTGCAGTTACTTGAATATCTGCACCGTGGACCTCCTTCCTTGAGGGCCAAGTGTTCCCCTTTATACAGCTTTACTGTAGGGAGGGGACGTCCCTGTGTTTTTGGGACCAAGGCCATTTTAAAAAATTCTGTCTTGGGGCTAGCTCCATGTTACAGCAGCAATGCACTGCTCAAGAAAAGCCAGATCCCCTTGGCACCCAAGATCCAACAGGCTAGAGGACTAGAGGAAGGGGATCCCAGCATGACCAGACCCTGTGGAAGGTGCCCCTCTTGCTATCCTACTCGCATGTGTATGCCACAAGCCCTATCATAATTAAGGAAAAAAATTTTAGGGATGGCCCTGTAGTACAGTGGTTAAGCACTGTACAGGGCAAGATGGACCCCACATGGCTGATGGTGCTTCCTACCTTGATCTGTTGATTAGAAAAACACACCAGGTATGTGTGCATATGCCTCCAGGATGGAGGAATGAAGGCTAAAGGAACTGAGCAGGCTCTCACACATGCTCTCTGGCATAAAAGATAAAAGTAAAAAAAAATTCCTTTTTTTATGTACATAAAATGAGGCATATTTTACATCTTAGAGATATTTCATGTCATCACATTCTTTAATAGAATTCAGAAATGGCTAACTTATTTAATTAGTCATCTTTTGTTGGACATTAATATTCTTGCACATATGTATTTCCTATTTTTGCAGGTAAATCTGGATAAATTCTTAGTGGTAGAATTCCAGTGATTTTTTTTTTTTTTTAATATTTTGGAATCAGCAGATGGTGTAATGGTTACGTCACTGACCTCCCATGTAGTCGACTGTGGTTCAAGTCTTGGATCTGGCAGCTTAAAACTCACTCTGGACTCATGTGCATGCATGCCCAAAATCTCGAGAGAAGAATGGAGGAGAAGGGATTGTGGTGTGGCCACCTTCCCTGGAGGTGTGATATTTTGCTTTCTGTCTCTCTGTTTCTCTGGCAAGCACATGCACCCTATTATAAAAATCTCTCTAAAAAATATTTCATTTTACTTATCATTATTTTTTAAAGCTTGCTATAGAGCACCAGAGGGAGACAGAGAGAATGGGAATGTGATAAAGCAAGCCATTAGTTCCAGGACTCGAACTGCATTTTGCCATGTGGGAGCCCAGTACCTCAACCACTGTGCTGGCCTGCTGGCTCTGAATTCCAGTTCCTTTAAAGAGCCTGACCAAAGAGAGGGCTCTTACTAAGTATTTTCTGAATGACTATAATTCTTTAGTCTTATCAGTTAAGAATTCTTGGGCTGGCCCTGTGACCTGTGGTTAAGGGAGCTGAATATCACATGTCTGACTGGTTCAAATCCAGTCCCCGGTGGCTTGAGGAACCCCAGGCATATGTGTGTGTACCCAAAATCCAAAAAGGAGAAATGGAGGAGAATGGATTGTGTTGTCACCATTTCCCACGGAAGGGTGCTCCCTCTCTCCATCTTTCTAATGAGTACCTGTGCCTTCTGACAAATTAAAACAAAAAGAATTATTTGGGTTGCAAGTAATGGGAAGTCTAACAGTGGCTTAGCCGACAAAGACATTTAGTTTCTCATATTGCAGTGCAGAGAAGCAGCGTGAGGCTGGTTCGGCAGCTTATCCACAGCACTGATGACCAAGCTCATTCCTTCCTTCTCCCGCCTTGGTGTGTTGGCCTGGGTCCTCATGGGGTTACCTCACAGGTGCTGCTGCTGTTGAAGTCAGAGCTGGGAGACGGTGGTGTAGAGGGTAGTGGCACAAGACCCTTATCCCCAATGACACTATTCCGGTGAATCGGCATGACTTCTTCCCTAGAAGTCGCCATAGAGAGGCCAAGAAACCAAATCTCTGCGAAGGGAATGGAAACATGGCTGTCTCAGATGAGTCATGCTGCATCCCTGGAGCTGGGGAGGGGCTGACCTAACATCAAAATTGACATTCTTTTTTTTTTTTTTTTTGAGAGGTTTTTGCTATAGGGCATGCCTGCTCGCCAGAAAGACAGAGAGAGACAGAGAGATAGAAAGCGAGAAATCACCCCCTGGGGGGGATGGCCGCGCCGCAATCCCTTCTCCATTCTCCTCTCGGAATCTTGGGTATGCATGCACACGTGCCTGGCGTGAGTTTAAGCGACCGGGTCCAGGACTCGAACCGTGGTTGGCTACATGGGAGTTCAGCGCCATAGACACTACGCTAACTGCTGGTCCCCCAAATTGACATTCTTGAAACATTCTTTTAAAGTTTATCTGATCCGGGACCAGCAGGTGGCATAATGGTTACGTAGCTGGACTCTTACACAGTCGACTGCAGTTCGAGTCCTAGACCTGGCAGCCTGAAACTCACACCAGGTGCATGTGCATGAATGCCCAAAATTCTGAAAGGAGAATAGAGGAGAAGGGATTGCGTTGTGGCCATCTTCTATGGGAGGATGATTTCTTACTTTCTGTCTCTGGTGAGCCCATGTGCCCTATAGCAATAATTTCTTTTAAAAAAGTTTATCTCAAGCCCCACCTCCCCCAGTTAAGGTCCCATGCTGTGCTCCACATCGCTTTTCTTGGCCAGTCCTGGGTCATGGACACGAGTGTACCTGGTGTATTCAGGGAGGTTTCCAGACATAGACCCAGAACCTTTCTATGTGGGTCAGCCTTGTCGAGCCTTGCAGCTGTGCCACTATCTGGTCTGTCCCTTCTGTAAGGAGGGACAGAATGGTTTTCAGGGAGGTAGGTAGTGAACTGGGTACTTGCTATATCAGCTCATTGAACATATGCATTTAAAATTCATATTAAAATTGATAAGCAGGGATCTCCAGGTGGCATAGAGGTTAAAGCACTGGATCCCACATGGCCACCTCCATGGTTTGAGTCCCAGACCCAGCGACTGGAGAAACATGCTGGGTCCATGCGTGTGTACCCAAAATCCCAAGAGGAGAATGGAGAAAGGGGGCATTGTGGTGTGGTTATCCCTCCTGCAGAGAGTTTCTCTTTCTTTCTTTTTCTTTCTGTCTTCAGTAAGTACCCTTACTCTATAGCAGATCAAAAGAAAGAAAGAAAGAAAAAAAGGAATTGCTAAGTAGGCAGGGCTTTTATAAGGAAAACTATGTAGGTACCAGTACTCATCTCGAATATCATAAAAATGATCTGGCAATGACACCACTTTAATGGAAACAGGCAAGGTTATAACTTTAAAACAACACATTTCTGTCACTGCTGTTTTTGTGCTTCCTCTCTGCCCCGTTTTTACTCAAGTGTGTGGAATTCTGGTTTCTCCTGGTTTTAGAACATTCATTTTCTTCCATTACGTGGACATATGTTAGGGTTGCCTGATGTGAAAAAGAGCAGCTAGAGTGAACCTCGCAGTGGCTGCTCTTGGGGATTCCCACAGCTCTGGACTCCTGCTGCAGGGACTGGGAAGGCCAAGTGCCAGTGTGATGGACGGAGAGACATTTGTCAGATCCCCTCCCACTGTTTTGCTTATTGTTTTGTTGTTTATTTTAAGAAAATTAAAATAACGTGCACACATAGTATGGTAGAACTTTTAATGAAAAAGAACAGTATGGGAACCTTAAAATACTATAGGAGGGGCTGGTAGGTGGTGTGGTGGTTAAGGTACTAGACTCCCATGTGGCTGACATGGTTCAAGTCCCGGTCCTGGCAGTTTGCTTTCTCACCTTCTCTCTCTCTCTGATCAAATTAAAATAACAATAATAATAATAAACAAACTTAAAAAAATACTTCTTTAAAAAATTACCATAGGATAGAGCCAGCAGGTGTCATGGAATTTAAAGCGGCTGAATTCCCCATGGCCCCCGTACAGCTTAAGTCCTGGACTCTGCAGCTTGAAAATCATGCCAGGCACGTGTGCATGTGTGCCTGAAGTCCTGAGAGGAGAGTGGGGGAGAAGAGACTGTGCTGTGGTCCTCCCCCTCGAGTGATTTCTCACTTTCCCCCACTCTCCCTCTCTGTGGCGCACTCATGCACCCTTTCGCAAAACTGAAAAAAAACCCATAGGATAATTTTCTGTTGAGATGGAGAGTAGAACTGGAGAGGGAGGTGTGGGCCCCAGGCACAGCTCAGACTGAGTGAGAGAAAACAACCTCTTCTGTACCTTTCCTTCACTCTAGGCAGCCCCGTGTGCCCTGTGAGCTGCTGAGCTGCCTACAGGGAGCAACAGAACAGGGGTGTGGAGGGAGGGCTGGGGTGGAATGTGCGAGTGAGATTGCCTTAGAGATGCAGTCAAGAGCTAAGATGGGACCAGGCCTCCCCCACCTCAGGCTTTTCTGGGCAGCTTTTCCTAGGATTGTAACCTAAACCAAAGTGCCAGAGCCTTTTCTTCCTCTAGTTTTAAGTTCATTTCCATCTCGGGGTTTGGGGGAGCAGGCTTCAGTGGATCCTAACTTTGCACCCTGAAATTTGCCCCTGAGCAGGTTGAAAGCCACATTGCCACCCACTTCTCTGATCCTCAGCTTCCTCACATTGGGCAGGAGTTTCTGGGGCTCAGATACTGGCCAGCTGAGTGAAGACCGACAAGGGCCAGAGCCAGTGGTTCTCGCAGCTTATCCCCTCCCCACCCCTTCCCTGCAGTCTGGTTGTAGAAATCTCTGCACATGTGCCCATGGCCCCTGCAGCCTCTCCCCACTGCGGTTCTGGACCTCACTGTTCTCTGGTAGGGCATCAAGTCATCAGCACCTGGGCTGTGTGGGCG